GGGGGGGTCAGGTCCAAACTGAATCCTGGGTGAGTGACTCACAAACACGACCTTTAACCCCGCAGGAGACGTGGCTCACGTGTCCCTGCATCTTTTCAGAACCACAGATAGCAAGCGGTGCGCAGACGTCCCTCGTTAAGACGATGGATTCAACAGTTTGTTGTTTTTCTGGAGCGGACGTGAACAGAGAATGTGAGTAAACCTAAATGTTTTTAGTGTAAGATGTTCTAGTAGGTAGGAGTTACACCGTGGAGAAGAACGGATGTAGTTCTGTCTTTGGTGCGAGGCAGCGCAGAGTGACGGATCCTGACGAGCAGAGGGAGAAATTTTAAAACCACCAGGCTCAAGGGCAGAGCCAGGGGGGACACCATAGATTAATCTTTAATCCCCCCAATCATTTAAGGCAGGGGTTTGCAATCTTGACGATCCAAAGAGCCATTTCTGTCTCTTCGTTCACTAAATTAAAATGTCCGGAGCCACAAGACCTGCTCCAACTGTGAGTATCAAGTGGTGGCCCATGGGCCACTTTACGTTCGTTGGAGGCGTTTCAGGCCAGTAGGAGCGGCATAATAAAACTAAATATATCTGATTTTTAACACAGATATTTTTAAGTATGCAGGTTTAGAGATTTTTTTATTATTATTTTGGAAAAAATATGTATCCTACTTTAAAGAAACAAAGCCTAAAGTTAAAGTATGTTTTACTGCTTGTATTAGTACTAGTATTCAGAAATTAGCTAAATAAATGACATGAAACCATTAAAACCAGCAGTGGTTTGTTGGTTTTGGTCAAAGTTTGACGGAGCCGCTGCAGAGGAACCACAGGGCCACATGTGGCTCCACAGGATGCAGACCCCTGATTTAAGGAAACTATCATTTTAAGCAACATACAAACTGGACAGAAGTGTTTCCACCAGTAAGGGTGGCCGGTTTAAGTATATACGGCGTCAGCCATCTTGGATTTGGACGTAGTAATCAATTTTTGGTGTTGACTTTTTTCCATCTAGATGCAGCCACACCAAAATGAAAGTCGCTACCTCACAGGACGCACAGAGGGACTGTATTTACGACCCCTCCTTTTATTTTTTTTAAGGTTTTCTGTTCAACAGTTTCAACCCATGACAGAAAAAGTTGGCGTCTGAGAGTTCAACTTTGCAGCAAGTCAGTGTTTTATGAACACATCAATCCTGCAGAAGAACAAAGTTCCTCTTTCTGTGAATCTCGGCTCTTTTCAACAAACGGTCCGTTCAGGAAGGATCAGAAGAAATTCAACCGCACCGTTGGTTTTGGTCTTTGTGCGTCGACTGGAAAAATAAAACCCGTCAGACGGAGCGATTTTCCAGCTGCGACAACGTTCGGGTTCACGTCTTCGCTCAGATTTTGATCTGGGGGAACCAAACGCTCCGAGTGGAACCAACCGATAAATCGGACCGTGTTCAGTTTATTATGACGGCGGAGGTTTTGTGCTGCAGGTGGAATAGAAGCGGGTCGGTTTGCAGGGTTCTGATGAAGACGCAGGAACAGAACGTGAGCAGAACTTCCAGCTGGCAGCTCCCGAGCTCTTCGGGGGAGTTGTGAGGCGCGGTTTGGGCCGGGATCAAACCCGGACCCACGTCAGCTCCTAAACCACATAAACTGACGGAGAACAAAGAGACCACAGAGAGAGAACCCTCCGGCACCGCCAGAACATTCCTGCGCCGGGTCCAAGATGAAAATTACACTTGAACATTCTTCTGAATCATAAAAAATAATATTCTTTCATTCATTGTTTGTTTATTGTTCATATTTATCAGATCAATCACTTTGAGTCGAATCGTTTTAATTTTATTCAGATTATAAAAAAACAGCTCAGATTTGAGGAGAATCCCCGTTTTGTTTTGAAGTTGAGCTCTTCGAGCTGCCAGCTAACAAACGCATAAAAAACATTTAAGCTTTTATTTATGTTCCAGAAGCTGCAGGCTCAGGTGCAGCCAGGTCACCGGAGCCTGCTGCAAAGCATTGTGGGAGTTGTAGTGAGGTTTAGTAAAGCTGCAGCGTTGGAAACACGAGACGACAGGTGAAGGGAAGGACAGAACGGAAACAGACGAGCAGTTTGAGAAACAAAAATAAACAAACAAAAAAAGGTGGAAAAAGAAGAACTAAATAAAGAAAAGCTGAAGCGACGCAGCCGCAGTAAAAAGCAATAGACTTCAAGCCAGTTACTGAGGTGAGCTGCTGGCAGCCAGCGTGCTGATCCGGGACCGTGAGGTGAAACATGCAGGTTTCATTCCTGGGGGGGACGTTAGTGGGATGATTTGATTTGAGTGATTGTGCAACATGAGGTTCCTCTGAAGTGATGGGTGTGGTTTGTGTTGGGGGGGTGCAGGCAGCCGTCTCCAGGACCTCCGGCACCGGTTCTGTTGAGACTGGGCTGCGGCTCTCGCTCCGTTTTGTCTGAGGAGGTTTAGAACGACGTCATCGTGCGTCAGAACGCCTGCTGGAACATTTCTGAGGATTCTGAAAACAAGCTCGGCGTGCGTCTGAAGCGCCAAAGCTGCAGACGTTTTAACGTGTAAACAAACATGTAAACAAACATGTAAACAAACATGTAAACATGTTTTCACAGGTAGATCAGCCGCACCTTTAGTCTTTCCTTCATCCATTGTTTTCTGATGGACATGTATATTTTTACTCACTACAGAACATTATAGAACGGGTCGAGTCGCATCATTGTTACAAACGTGGGTGGCACCTAGGCCTGTCACGATAACAAACGTTAGTGGGCGAATGTCTCAGAAATTATTGCGATAAACGATAATATGTTTGAAATTTGACAATAATTAGTAATTACTGTCAAATTTAAGAAGAAATGTTTAATTTGTTTTGCATGTAGTACATTTTTTGACCACTGGATGGCAGTATAAGACCGTCTGAAGTGAAGGATGGATAGCGAGGGAGTGAGCGGCGTGTCTCTAAGAAAAATGGGAGGGAGGCCCGTTGACGTGACATGGGCTGTCTCTCTTTGGTTCTCAAAATGGCGGATGCGCAGTGCGGTTTGAGAGCTTTAGCATAGCATTTTTCTCACAAAGCTTTTAATAAAAAAAAATAAAAAAAAACAGTAAACAAGTTCTCAGCTTCTTTTTGTAGAGAAAAACAACTTTTTACACGAAGGCACGGGTTTCAACCGGGAATTTTGGCGCTTTGACAAGACGGAGGTTTATCCCTCGAGGTCGGCGTCTTAGCTTAGCTCGTAGCTTAGCTTCTTTTAACGATCCAAAAACGCGATTAAAATTAAAACGGACTTTTAAAGAGAAAAGAGAAGAGCACCGGAGGTGAGCCTTCTGTCATCCAGTGTCTTCAGTAGAAAGAGAGAGACACGAAGAAACGATAAAGCCGATAAATAAAAACGAGGTTGATAATTTTCATTTATTTAATTGATTTATTGTTTATCGAGACAGGCCTAGTGGCACCGTTTCTAAAAAATGTCTTATGCCACACGAAAATTATGTATTAGTAGCTAAACGCTAACAGATCGAGATTTTAGTTCAACTGTTAACGTGCGAGGCGGCGGGCGACATGCAAACCTTTGTGGAACAGTTATTTTGTTTATATACAAAACTTTATTGTTTATACGACTTTTCTTTTCCCTTTTCCGTCACTCTTCAGTTTGGAAGACTTTCAAAGAGATGTCAATTGTCCGTAACTTTTCCATTTAATGTTAAAACATTTGACTTTAAGATGAAAATGAGTTTTAGATGAGTCAGAGTTTTGGAAAATAAAAACGAGCGTCGGACGTTTTCACTTGGAGCCTCTGAACCGTTTAAACAACCTCAGACAAACCGGAGCGTCTCTGCGAGGCCTTCATGAAATGATTTCTGATCGATGAGCGTGAGGAGCTTCTTCCCTTTAAAGCCAACACCGATAAGCAGAGCCACGGGAGAGGAAGTAGATGTGGGGGGGCAGGCTGGCAGCACGCCTCGCCCCCCGCCTCCATCCCAAGCAGCAACCAACCAGGCAGAAAGTAGGCGGCGAGCGACAACACCAACAGTACTATGATCAGCTCTGATGGGACTCAATCGGCTGGGGGGGAGGGGGGGGGGGCTGATTATCGATTGCTTTTTTCTGTTTGAAGAGGGAGAACGAACGGAGACAAATAAATTACAGGGAGAAGGAGGCGTTCAGAGACAAAACGAAGACAATCTGATTGGCTTGAGAGATGGAGGGATTCCCACATGGAGTAAACGGGTGGAGGATCTAACCGGACCGAACAGAACCGGGACAACCGGACCGAACAGAACCGGGACAAACACTGAAAAGAGGAAAACGCTGGAAATAAGAGTTCAGAACCCTTTTCTAAAAGGAGGTAAGCAGGAAGTGAAGAAATGAGCGGGTGAGAGGGAGGTCTGGGAGTTTTAGCGGGCGCCGTGGCGAGCCTGACTCCGCCCCTCTCTCCGGTTCTACCTTTATGGCCTCCTGGGGGGACGGAGCTGGGTTTGGCAGGAAGGGGGGGGCCTGTACTGTTGGAGTTGTTGGCCGGCGGTTGGTACGAGCCAGACAGGAAGATGCCGTCGGAAAGCGGGCGGGGCTTGCGAGCAGTGGGCGGCGGCTGAGGCCTGTTGTGACCGTGCGAGGCGGAGCCCGGGAGGTCGCCGTACGACTTCCGGGTCGCCGACAGCTTGGCCTGACCTGACTGACCGCCGCCGCTCCCTGCCGTGTTGGCTTCCTCGTCGTCTTCCTCGTCGCCCGCGTAGGACACCAGCATGGCGGTGTAGAGCGTGTCGGGGGAGATGACCTGTGTTTTGAGGTAGGAGGTGTTTCTCTGTGGTGGGGGTGGGGGGGTGTTAGTAGGGTTGCTGGGGGCGGGAGGTTGGTAGTCCCTGGGCAGCGGGGGCCGATACAGACCAGTCGGCTCGTCGGGCGTCAGCAGCTTCCTCTCGGCGTCCTCGTGCTGCTGCCGCCGCCGCCGCTCCGCCTCCAGGCGGGTGTAGTACTCCTCCTCCTGTCTCCTCTGAGAGGGGGGGGGGACAACCTGTTAGTACGCTCCACTCTGACTGGAGCTGATTGGCTCCCACCAACACTGGACAGGAACTAGCTAAGCAGCTACAGGCTAACCTGGGGAACTAACCAACTAAGTAACCAACTGATCCGACACAAACTGATCCTGAAACCAGCGCCGGCAGAACTTCCTGTTCCGCTCAAATGTCTCAGAACCCGAAGTTCAACAGCTGAGCCTCAGAGAACTTCGGCCGTTTCAAGAAACGAGCAGAAACAAACTCAAACTGCTGATTTTCTACACAAAGTTCGATCCAATCAGTTGTTTTCACTCTGACCTGCAGAAACAGTTCGAGTGAGTTCATGTTTGTTTTTGTGCGTTCTTCTTATTCCTTCAGGTTCAGGTCGAGAGATTCTGTGCAAAAGTCTTCAGCCAGTCCAATCTTTCCACTCATAGAGCCAGATGTTTTTAAATGTCTTGAAGGTGATTTTAAAAAAACGTTTTCTTTTCAGTAGATGGACGCAAAACTAATTTAGGGAAACTGGACAGATGGAAAGAAAACTGTCCAGGTGAGTCAGGACCAGAGAGGTGCACCAACCATCAGCTGATCTCTGCAGGAAACGTCCCGTTGGAGCTCAAGTACTCGTTTCAATTCGTTAAATCGTTTTATTGTTGCAACTAAAAACTTGAACAGAAGAACATATTTGTAATAAAATGTCTAAAGACATCATTTCTAACAGATTCTGTCGTCTGTTAAATGTAGAAACAAACTTGGGTCCATCTTTTCAGACGAGGAGTTTTTATATATGTGAATAATTCAAAATGTTGAGACTTTTAAAACTTTCAGTGGACAGAAAAAGTCAAACTAATTCACTTTTTCTTTACATTTCCTCACTCAATATCAATTAATTCTGGCTCCTTTCAGACTGAAGTACAAAACAAAGAGAAATAAATGTAAAATAATTTGTTCTGTCAAGTTTTGTGTGAGGAGATTCTTTAATTTTAATAAACCAACCTATGAAATGGAAACAGGAATATTGTTTAATAAATCAGTCTATGTAGCAGCAGATATTTTAAGATGAAGCCAAACGTTTACTTATTAGAGCTTAAACTTCAGAACGTCAACTTTAATTTAGCTGCTGTTGTCTGAAGATTTCAATCTGCAGCAACAAGTTCTTATGGAGCATTTTTTTTAAAGTATAACACAAATTTAAAATAAAAGTTAAAAAAGCAACAATTTAGAATGTTTGTCTTAACGATGGACAAAAACTAACTAAATAAATAATAAAATATAATCACATAAATTATGTAATCTTAATATTTTAAGTTGTTAATAAATAAATAAAAAAAATAGAGATCGTCCGAGTGTTTCAGCTCCAACGTTGTTCGAGACGACACTTTAGTTTATTATTTATTAAAGCATTTATTCACAATTCTAGATCAGCTTCTGTCTTGAATGAAACCGGAGGACAGTTTGACTGACGAGGCCACTGAACGGGATCTTTGCATCACTGGAAAATCTAAAAACTTATTTTTTCACATGTATATTAAAACATATTTAAATCAGTTGATTCATAACTTTTTTTAAAAATAATCTACAAAGACCAACTGGACAAAACAAAGAGTTTGGCTTCAGGAACAACAGATCTGACTTGAACTGCAGCTTCCTGCTCTTTGTCGTTGAGCTGGATCTATACGAGCTGGATCTATACGAGCTGGATCTATACGAGCTGGATCTATACGAG